ACCGCTTTTCCCCATGTGGGAGCACCCCAAACAACGAGGAACAGTGCCCGAGCACTGTTTCCTGTGTTGTTTGCATGTGTTGACATGCCCCGCCCACAGCCGCAAGCCCTGGCACACCTGGCAAGGCCACCCACCAGCCTCTCCGTAGGTGGACTGTTCAACCACAGTCCTGATATATAAGGATACCTTGTTTAAATACAGTGTTTGATATAGAATTCTAGCAGACATGGCTGGTAGCAGGTGGATGGGGAGACGAGCGTTGACCTCCTGTAACCAACCACCCACCCTGCTTGTGCTCGGCCTCTGCCACCTGCTCGCGCTCGTCCTCCACCCGCTTGTCGTCTTTCACCCACTCGTCCTTGTGTTCATCCTGCCTTACTCATGTTGCTGGCCACGCCCTGGCACTCGCGTTTGTACTGCCACCATGCCGTGTTTGTCTCGAATTCCGGTGTATTCGCCCGCCACCCACCATTGGACTCACGCCGTCGTTCTTGTCGCGTTCTTGTCTTCAGTGCGGTGTTTGCATCCCTGCTGTTGCGTTGGCTATTTCGTCGTCATGTCGGCGAAACCGTGGGTCTGGAAGAGGATGCAGACAAGGGTGCAGGAGATGAAGAGAGGAGAGGAGAGGAGAGGCTCGAAGGGAGGCGGAGGCGAACGAACTGCCTAGCCGCACTCGTGCTCGTGTTCCTCCACCTGCTCATGGTCGTCCTCCTCCACCCCCCTCCAGTCGCTAGTCCTCCAGTCGCTAGTCCTCCAGTCGCTAGTCCTCCAGTCGCTAGTCCTCCTTTGCTCGCTCGTGCTCGCTCTCCTCCTTTGCTCGCTCGTGCTTGCGCTCTTCCACCGTCTTCTGCTTGTGCTCCTCCACCCGGTCGTGCTTGTGTAAGTGCCGCCCTGCTTATGTTGCCGGTCCATCTTATGCTCGTGTTGGCCCCACCCTTGCCATCGTGTTCGTGTGGCCAGCATGCCGTGTTCGTCTCACATTATGGTGTGTTCATCCTGCCCTCGCCGTAGTGCTCATGTCATTGTCATATTCTTCTAGCCTTCATCGTCGTGCTTGTATGCGGTGGGTTGGTAGTTCCGTCGGTGCGTGTGGAGGAAATACCACCGGGTCGCAACGTTACATGTCATCTCTAGGATACCGTGGCTCAGAGGATGGGGGAGGTATGGAGAGGGGAGGGAAGGGACAAGGAGAGAGGACGGCGAGTGATGGCGGGTGGGTCATCATCGAAGGAGAACACCCACATCCCTATTGAAGGGGAAGGGTGCGCAAGGTGAGGGTGAAGGGCGATGGTCGATGGGTGAAAGAGCAGGGGATGGTGTGAGGTTGTTATGGGTGCGTTCGAATGGAGCCCACATCCCTATTGGATGGCAGGGGCGCAAGAGGCAGAGAAAATGAATGTCAACTTGAAGTCGACATTCATGGACAGACCTAATTTAGAATGAAACCTTGTGTTAGAGCGTACATACACGGATAAGATATGTTACATACCTCTTTGTTCAGTCCTGGGGTGTCATTCAAAGTGTTGGATAGTGAAGGGCAGTGCCAGGTGGTGGTCGAGGACGAGCATCAATGACGCTCATCGTCATTGATGGCTTATCCGGTGGATGCTGTCCACCACCTGATTGGCTGGAAATGGCGGCCCGCTTCTCCGCAGTTCCACTCATGCACGACGGAATCGCTATTGCATACCACAGACAGTGAAAGACAACTATTTTAGTGTTGGCATCTCATAGAATGATATAATTATATCTATTTATTTGTGTCCGAGGGTAATTCTTTGAAGGGAAACATAGAGTAGCGCTGTGAGCTACTCATTTGCCTTAAGCTACCCTCCAGGACTATATGCTTTGTACGAGAAACCCCAGATCAAAAGGTAGGAGCCATAATAATTGCCTTAATAGACTGTGTATCTATCTCCTGAACTCTCTGAATGCAAATTCATAGCACTTGCAAGCAGGTGAAGTACGCAATGAAATTTAGATTGAACTAATGTACACTTTTGCAACACTTTCGAGGGGCTTCAAAAGGACCCATCACACTGGACAAGCCATAAAACAATTCATCTAAGTTATGCATACATTCAAAGTACAACTACTATTTAAT